TTTTTGGCCACCCCCCCCCCCCCCTTTTTATTTTTTATTTTTTTTAAGGATGGATAATTTTGTTCATACGATATAAATTTCTTTTTAATTCTTTTATGGTAAAATTTAATTTTTTTCAATTTTAATCAATTACATAATATTTATATATTATTTATTTAATTTTTGTAACTTTCTTTTATTTTATTTGTTTTATTTGGTTTAATAAAATAATTTTTATACAATCTTTATAATAGAACGACATTCATTAAATTTGAATTAAATAATATTTATTTTTAATTTTAAACGATAAGGAGTTTAATTTAAAAACTTTACAATAATTTTTTTTCTATTTTTGCCTGCAATTCCTTTTTTTAATAATATTTATACTTACGTTTTTTTTATCATAAATAAAGAGAAAAGAATTCACAAAAAAATTAAATAGAAAAAAAAATTATCTATGATATCAACCAAACAAACTAAAAAATAAATAGATAAGAAATTTTTTTTCCACCAATTGGAGATGATCTCTCCGTGAGACTTCATCTCACGGATAGGAAACTCTATGAAAGGAGACATTTCACTCCTTTCAAAAGGAGGTGATTCTTCTTTTGGAAGGGGAGACTATCTCTCTGTCCATGGAGAGAAATTATTATTTTTATTTATTTTAAAGAGGGATAATTTTGTTCCTATTATATTTTAATATAAAAACTTCTTAATTCTTTTATGGTAAAAATATTTAATTTTTTCAATTTTAATAATTAATTAAATAGTATTTATATATTATTTATTTAATTTTTGAAACTTTCTTTTATTTTATTTTTTTAATTTTGTTTAATAAAATAATATTTATACATTCTTTATGATAGAACGACATCTGTTAATATTGAATTAAATAATATTTATTTTTAATTTTAAATCATTTTAATTTAATTTAAAAACTTTATAATAAATTTTTTTTCTATTTTTACTTGCAATTTCTTTTTTCTTTTTTAATAATCTTTATATTTAGTTTTGTTTCTTAATTATATAATATAGTATTGACTTTCATAAAGGGAAGTCGTGTGTGAAAATTGAGAAATATTGCAGTGGAAGTAACATTGCAGTGAAACGACGTATGAAAATGGTTAAATGGGATGTGAAAAAAAATGCTTTATTGTGATTGAGTATAATAATTTACTGTTGCCAAATCAGTTTAATGTGAAAACATATGTGACAAAAATAAACAATAAATCTTGCATTCTCTCTTTTAATTTGTTTATTTAAAAACTACGTTTCAACTTAAGTAAGAAGTATGATTATGACTACAATTAGCTTTGTTAATACATTTTTTTTTTCTTTTGAAATTACATTAAAAAATTACATTTTCTTTACTGTAGAGTATTTCTAAGAGATAGGGAATCTGCTTCAGAAGGGGCGATAATTAAAGTATCTATCGTGCCAAACAGTGGCGGATCCAAGATTTTGAGTCAGTATGGGTGATCGTGGACCGTCGGTCCAATAAAATATTACACGCTCGTTTGATGTATTTTTTTGGCATAGTGATTTGATGGAAAATATGTGGTTAAAAATAAGGATAAATTTTGAATTTGCGTATAATATTATTTTATTAAAAAATATATGGTTGAAAATAAAAGAGAGAAAAATATATTCTAAAATAAATGGGAATCAAACAAGACCTAAAATTTAAATATAACATTTATTTTGTTGAAATTGAACATATATATTTTGTTATAAGAATAGACCATACTCATTAAATGACATTGTTGCCAAGTTTTATATAATTCAAAGGAAGAGTACGGGTTCAAATTTTTGCTGTTGCATTAAAACACGCTAAGATCTAAATTATATAAATTTGTTAACTCTATTGTCACAATTCATAGAATGGCATGATGGTCAAACTTTTAATTATTCCAACAAGAGCTCCAAGTTTGAATTCCCATCTCCTCATTCCATCAATTTTTGGTAAAAATTGTAGAGCTAAAAAAATTGTACAAAAAAAATTAGTTTATAGAGGATTCGAACCTGGGACATGCAAGAAGTAAAAATCAATGCTAACCAACTCGGCAAGAAGAATGCTTAGAGAGAAAGTGTATTATTAGAAATATAACCTAAAATATTTATCTATTGTCAAAAAATAAAAAAAATAAATTTGGCTGTCGACGGATCCAGTACGCGCGACCGCGGGTGCTCGTCAGGTGCTAGATCCGCCAGTGGTGCCAAATATGAAAACTTTCCAAACTCACACTTTATTGTTCTCAAGGTTCATGTAGCAGGCTTTTAGGTGCACTCAATCAACAAAAAATATTTACCGTCGACCATTTGGCATTGAAGAAATAGTCCATGAAAGAAAAGTACCGAAAATGAAGAAGCCATTATTTGTAAACAACATTTTAAGTAAAGAAAAAGTTTTAACAATTACATTTATGATGAAGCTCATGATGTTCCACTTTGTTGTTGGAAGAATGTAATTTTGCAAAATCATACCATCAATGTGATTTAAATGTTAGAGGAGCGTATTCTGAAAAGAGTTATAGTTACACATGGAGCTGGAGTTGTTTAATGTGGGTTAGAAGTTTATTATTTTTCTTTTTTCTTTTTATTTACGCAGAGAAAATAAAGGTATAAACTATTTTATAAGTTATATTTTTAACGATTAAATAAATGAAATGCAAAAAAGTTATTGTCAAGATATAAAGATAGGGGACTATGTTGCAAGAATCTATGAGTTTGAGGGTAGTGATGCAAATTTTGCAATTATATGGAGTAACTTGAAAATTGCAACAACTCCACGACCCGGGTGGAAAAGTAATTTCCATCAAATTGACAGGATATTTTTGTCAAAGCACCAAAAAACCCCGCTCCAGCTAGGGTTTCTTTCATATTTAAACTTCTTTCTTCTTCTCCATCCCTATCTCACCGCAGTTTCCCGTAGCACCTCGTACCACCTGCCCCTCCACATTAGAACAAAAGCGCACACACAAATCTCAGAAAACAGAAATGGAGAATTCTGTGGAAGTTTCCGGTCAAGAGCCACTAGACAGAGTTCACAGTGAAGTATTGCTTTTCAATCGCTGGAGATACGACGAAGTTCAGGTTTTACTTCTATTCCTAATCTTCTAATCTCGATCTCATGTTATAGAGTTGATGCAAACGTAATTTATGATTATATTTGTATTTTCTCATCTTCTTCTTGTGAAGTTGAGATATATTAGATGCAAAAATATTTCATTGTTTATTATTGTATTGTCATGGATAGGAAATTTATTAGCAATGTTATATAATCCAGGAAATATTAGGCTTTTATGGAATGTATTTTCTTAGGGTTCCGATTCAAATTAGGAATTTTCGAAATACAATGTCCAATTTATAAGTTACTAGACTTCTCGGCTTGAAGACCTTAGAAATTTAGATTCCGGTTTTTATATGGTTATCTAGTCGAAAAATAGAAATCTTGATGTTCTTTTTGTGGGTGTCATATTTTCCGATTAAGAATTCAATAGATGGAACTGAGTTTGGATAGTAACTCTATAAACAATGTGATATTTATGCATCCTCCTGAGTTTGTATCAATCTTTGACATATAATTGAAACTGTCATCAAGAAGAAAAATATGTTTCTCCTCATTGCTGTATTTATTAAAGAACTTGACAATGTTTGATGGTCATGCAGCAAAATTCCATTTTTGTTATAGGCTGGCAATCCATGGAACTTACATTAAATTACAACCATCTTAATTTGTTAACTTATTATGATCAACTATTGAGTGATTAATTTCGTTCTTTTCTGCTTTCACTTTGGGATTAAAGTCAAGGTTTTCCTTTATGCTTTTCCATTGAAAGATCTCGTCATAGTTTTGTCTGATAAATGTGTAACAGAGGCATTTCTTATGTAACTTATTGAAAACTTTTAGACGTCTGAAAGGATTCTTGCAATAGAAACCTAATTGATTTAATTATTTTGGAATGGTTTAAAACTTCAAATTTTCTATTTTTTGTTTCTTTAACAGATCAGTGACATTTCTGTTGAGGATTACATCACTGCAACTGCTGCCAAGCATCCGACCTTCATGCCCCACACTGCTGGGAGGTACCAAGCCAAGCGGTTTAGGAAGGCCCAGTGCCCAATTGTTGAGAGACTAACCAATTCATTGATGATGCATGGGCGTAACAATGGAAAGAAACTGATGGCTGTCCGTATTATTAAGCATGCAATGGAAATTATCCACTTGCTAACAGACCAGAACCCAATTCAAGTTATTGTTGATGCTGTGATCAACAGGTACACAGGAAAAAAATTTGTCCTGTTCTCTTTATTTATTGAACTTTTCTTCTTGTGAAACAAAAGCTTGAAATATCTGTTTCATAGACACTTTTGCAGATTTGTATGTTGAAGAATAAATTCTGCACTGTGGTTAATTAAAATATATGATACTTATGTGACTCTAACCTGCCCAACAATTCTCTGTTATGGGTACCCTTTTTAGTTTCATTCAACTTAATTTCAGGATTCGAGATATGACAAGGTTGTGTATGAATCCTTTTCAGAATTTAATAACGATAATAACTAAGCAGAGGCATCTTCCTTGGAATTGAAGTATTGATGTTAGTATTATTTTTAATTGTTATCACATTCGGGGAATAGCTAATATTCTTTTGTACACAAGCTTTGTGAAATATAATTATTAGTAGTATGAACATTTGCTTACTTTGCAGTGGACCAAGAGAAGATGCAACCAGAATTGGTTCTGCTGGTGTTGTGAGACGTCAAGCTGTTGATATATCACCTCTTCGCCGTGTCAATCAAGCCGTATATCTTCTTACAACTGGTGCTAGGGAGAGTGCTTTCAGAAATATCAAAACCATAGCTGAATGCCTTGCTGATGAACTCATCAATGCTGCTAAAGGGTCTTCTAACAGGTGAGAAAGAGAGTCCCTTTTGTAAATTCACTTGCCATTCTAACAAAGTTATGATTCACTGATTTTTCTTTTTCTTTTTCTTTTTATTTTTATTTTTTGCACTTGCAGCTATGCTATCAAGAAAAAAGACGAGATTGAGAGAGTGGCCAAGGCCAATCGTTGAGAGAGGTTTATTAGTGTTTCAAGGGTTAATTTTAAAGACCTTATTTCAAAACAAGTTTCTTCAGTAAAGCCATGTAATATGATGATTGTTACTTTGTTTCCGTGTTGTTTAAACCAAACTTTGTTTGAGGAATGGATATTTAGGCGAATTGTTTTTGCTGTGACATCAGTTTTTGGTTAACATTTTGAGTTTATTGTGCTTCTCTGTCTGTCTCTCTCTCTCTGTCTCTCCCCATCTTCTTCTTCTTCCCTTTTTTTATTTTTTATTATTTTATTATTTTTTATTATTTTTATTTAGGTAACTAATTTGTATTGATAAAAAATTGGTACTATTCCTGGCATACAAAGCAAAGTATTACAAGGATTAAATGATCTAGTTAATCTATACCAAGCGACGGAATATGAATCAAGACTTTACAAATGCAATAACAATAATGCCCAACTTGTGGGTGGTCTTCAATACTTCAAAGAGTCTTTGAAGAATATTTAAAGAGAAAATTTCATAATTAAGAAATTAAGTATGACATATTTCAAAATTAAAAAAATAAGTTTTAAATTTTAAAAATCAGATTTTTATTAAAATATATTTTATAATTTAATTAATTAATTAAATATATTTAGGTTACATATTTATACAATTTGGTCATATATTAATAATTTAATTAGTCACTTATTATTTTTTGGTCACAAATCAAAAATTTTATGTCACAAATTATTTTACAATCATAATTCAAAAATTTTGTAGGTCACAATTTGTTCAAAGGCCACAAATCAAAAAATGAATTAGTAACAACTTATCAAATTATTGGTCACAAATAAAAAATTTTATATGTCACAAATCACAACTTATTAGACATTCACAAATTATTAATTTTTTAGATCACACATTATTTCTTAGTCACAATTTATCTTTTTCATTGGTCACATATTATTTATTGCTCACAGATTAACGTTACAATCAACCAAATAATCAGTGACCATCACCAACACTTACAACAACCACTTCAACGCTGCCTCCAACAGCACCACCATCACCGCATTGGTCACAAAATAACAAATTTATTGGTCACAATTTTCAGTCAACCAATAAAATCATTACATACACCTACACCCCCATCCCACCACTTTAAAGCACCGCACTATCACCAACCACCACCAGAGATTTTGCCTACCTCCACCACCATCGACATCACCATCACTACAACACCAACAACACCCACGCCTCATCTCACCACTCCAAAGCACCGCATCACTGCCAATAACCACCAACGACGTCGCCCACCATCACCACCATCGATATCACCACCACTACAACACCAACAGTAAAACCATCACCATCGTGACGAGCGTCGCATCTGTGACCAATACACAATGGCGCTAAAACTGCCTACTCCAGCAACACCACCACTGCCGTCATCTCTAGATCTACCAACATAAAACAACCTCCACCCTTATCACCTCACAACAATGTCACCACCATGCTGCTGCTACCATCACACACATCACACTGTGCCACGTCCTGCATAGTTCACACACACTCCCATACCACACACACACCACCGCCCTGTCTTACATAAAAAAAAAAAAAATTTGATTTCAAATTGAAGGCATAAAAAATCTTCTCGAATCACAAGTATTTCCTATTCTCAATCCACCTTAAGCTCCCTCCATTTCTTATCGACATCAGATCTGAAACCGAAATCCTCAATTCCACTGAAATTGAAATTTTTGATTCTGAAACCAAAATCTTCAATTCCATTGAAATTGAAAGAAGGATTATCTCTTGCTGCTGGTTCCTAGCGCGGTTTCAAAACGACACCACCCCCGCTGTCGTGGTGGTGGTCTAGTGGACATCATGCCGAACACGAACACCACAAGGATCTTAATTGTTAGGCTCCGCTCGTTGTCTTGCTGCGTGTCGTCGCCTGTCGCCGTCGACTGAGGTGGGTTGGAGCCTATGTGGGGAGGGTTGGGACGGCAGAGCACTGAGAGTGGGGTAGCTAGAGAGGATGAGAAGAGAGAGAGAGAGAGAGTGTGTGTGTGTGTGTGAGAGAGAGAGAGAGAGAGAGAGACAGAGAGAGAGAAGTAGGAGAGTGATAATTGAATTTTAGGGTTTGGAATGAGTATATATTTAATTTTGTAATACAATTATTAATATTTCAAATATATTAATTAATTAAAAAAAATCTAATTTTTGAAATAGTAAACTTATTCTATGATTTATAAAATGGGATCTCTAAATATATTAGAATATGTAATTTCCACGTATTTAAAAGTTGGGGCAGCCCACTATGTTGGACCAAGTTGGCTTTCTTCTTGCCCATATCCTATGACGGGCTGAGAAACAGCCCAGCTAGGAAAATGCAAAAGTAGGCTGGGCTAGGCAGGCTCACATGCCGGGATAAAAAATAAAGAACCATGTTTGGGGTACATAGGTGTCCATTATGTTGAAGTAGCATAATCCAAAAATAAATCAGTTGATAATATTGAAATATTACCCAAATATGAAACCCAACAGCTTTATGCAGGAATCCAATTGAGCAGCCTGACCGTATCCACTTTATGATAGCAGTTCAAACTTAAAATTTAAATTTGAATCAATACCAATAGATACAAAATACACACACCCTTCAAGTATGAAGATGAATGCATTGAACTGTAACTTTGAAGCTGATGACCCAAAACATCAAGCAGCTGAACTAGAATTAACCACCACCTTCAAACTTTGAACAATACGGCCAACTGGAATCCCCAGGAATGAGAACCCAGCAGGACCAAAACGCAAAGCTGAAACCCAGAAAACAGCACCGAATCCAACCAGGAACTGCACAGCTAATCTGACCGAGTCAATATTAACCCGAATCTTGTCGAACCCAACCACTGAATCTGAAACTACAATGAACAGAACGCGCATGCAGAAACTGTTGGTAGTAGTCCCAAAAAGCTAAGAAACTTGACTAAATTCAGGCTTCAAGACCTGAGAGCACCAATTTCTGAAGTTTTTTGCCGATCTGGGCAATAAAATACTTCAAGAAAAATCAACTTTGCCAAGAAACTGGACTCGTCCATTTAGCTTTTGAATTTGGACAAGACTTAAAGTGCTGCTTGGCCTTCAAACAAGCCACAAGTGCGAGTGATTTGGATGCTACCTGCTATTGAAACAAGCAGGCAGCTAGTGAGGTGCCTGCCTGGACTTTAATGAAGCAGGCAGCTGAACTTGAAAGAGTCAAAACAAGTAGCTGGCCTGGTTTATAATCCTTCAAGAAAATTGAAGTTCTTCAAAGCTAACACATAACTGGACATATTTTAACAAAATTTGCTATACTATATTTGAAATTACCTACAAAAGGTGAGATCAAACAAGAATCCATGAGCTCGCAAATGTAAAAGGCAAATTCTAGTGAGTGTTTCTCTCACCAGAGTTTGAGTGCTTCTCTCTCCAATGTCTACATTGTAGCTTCTCTCTCTCTTATTCCCTCCTCATATGGTGTCATTACTAGTTGTCGTTTAAACTATTTTTGTAGTTATCATATAAAAAGTTGCGTATTATGATATATGACCGCATTGCTAAGAATCTTATAGATTGACCAATAAAAACTAGAAAACTATAGGTCTACATGTTGGAAAAAAAGGAGGAGAAGTGGAATAGAGACAAGAATAATATCACAATAATGCAACAACAAAAATAATTAACACCAAAAACTTGATAAGAATAAGATTGAAGACTCGAACGCATAATCCCTGATTCGCTGTCCTCAAACTATATTTGCCTTCTTTCGGGATTGGTAGAGATGCTTAAGAATTTTGATAGATGGTTTGTAGGATTATATCAATCTTTGTAAATGATCTAACACTAAAGCAATCTTCCAAAATTTTAAGAACACAAGGAAGAAAAGAGTATGAATGTGAATCAAGAATTTGATAATTGATATTTGAATGAATATGGATCACAAATGTTTCTCACTTGTTTTTGGCTTGAGATGCATCACTTATATATAGGCCACCACCAATGTGCACGAATTGGTACCAAAATAGGTTGAAAAGCCATCACAATTCGGAGTTGCAACGGTAGGAAATCGACCTCCAATGGTCAATTTTGTATAACTATGTGACTGCATAGTATTAATTTATGCGACAGCATAGAACAACACAAAGAGGCCCCAGAATTCCTTGCAATCGGCCATGTGATTGCATAGTATTAATCTACGCGACAGCATAGAACAAAGTTTTACTTCTAATATCGTTTTTGGTTTTTTCTATATATTTATTCATCCCATTTCATTTTTCTTGAATGTTGAACAATATTTCAACAATCCCGTACTTGTTCAAAATTCGAGAAAAATTCTCATACTCAAATCATGCGATACTCATGCATAAGGACTTAACATCTTTCGATTTGAATCTAACCATAGTGTAATTCAAATAAAGTAAAGTCGAAATCAAAGGTACCTGTAGTTTTGAACCAATTATTTCATGTGAAAATACCGGTTCGAACACACAAACAAGTACCACGTGTTCTCAAATTCCTCATAACTCACTTAACGCTCTTATGGCCTTGCGCTCATCCTATTCGACAAATTTTTAAAAAAGAAACTCCAACTCTCAATTGAGGTAGCACCACCTCGAAGTTTGTTTAGGTAAAGTTCTTCCAGTACCTTTTTTTACTTTTAGAAATACTTGTATTTTTGCACTGAACTTCATTAAGAGCTTTAATGCTCAACCCTCATTTCAGTAACAACTATCATTATTTTACTTAGGATAGGGTTATTGCGGATTTGCATAATGCTGAAACCATCCCACATATCAAATGACTTGTTTTTACCCTTAGAACCAGTGGATTACCTTTTGAGTAATGACAGGTAAGGTTGCCACCATTGGTGGACCTTTATTGTGAAAGGAGTTTCAAACCCATCCTACTCGAAGTAGATGCCATTAAATCTCTATTTAGCAGTTTAGTTAAAGGATCCGCTAAATTCGCTATTGACTTTGCATAATTTAGGAAAATTATTCCATCTTTGATTAATTTCCTTATGTAGTCGTGTCTTAGACTCATATGTCTAGACTTTCCATTATATACTTCATTGTATGCTTTTGCTAATATGGCTTGACTATCATACATGATAGGTATTGAAAATATATTCTTCGATCTCAAAGATATCTCATAGAAGAGATCCTTAAGCCACTCAGCCTCTTTCCCGGTA